ACCGTGCGAATTGCCGTGGGCGATCTCGTTGTAGGGGATTAATGAGGCAATACGTCTTCCATTCAAGTCCAGAGAGTTCACACAACGTCAAAAGTCCTAAACATTCAAAAAACATTCATTGGGCCTCCGTCGACTCTTTACACTACTACTAATGGATTTTCGCGTGGGGAGGAGAAGATGAGAACGAAAACAACGCTACGGTAAGTTTGGCGAACAAATACCGTCACGTATACCGGCGACCGATAGTGGTAACAGTAGTTACAGCATTACTGTGTTTGTGTTCCATTCGGCTGAAGACGAAATGAGGAGGGAAGGGGATAAATGGGTACGCCGGACAACAAAAAAAATGCTCGAAAATGCATATCCGTCATAATAATAAATGTGCAAGCGATCGCTGCCAGATCGATAACCGACCCGGACCACCTTTTATATTCTCACCTGGTTACAAAACTCTGAAAATATACTACCGCGAATTTGAAGAAGTGTTGAGCAGTAAAAATAATATAATATAATTACTACTGGTGAGCGTTAAAAAAACGTAACGCTGAAAACGATAAATTCATTATAGGAATATTCAGTCACAAAAAAGTATGCATAATTAATTAGACGGCGTAAATACTTAATGAAAACCATAGGCTGTTGAATGGAGCAGATATCTCATGGCAAACGAATAGTTATAAAATATCTAATACATTACGGCGCCACCAGAGCAAATGGTTAATGAGCTACTGTATAACAGTATCGTTTCTTCGAGTAATTAATAAAAACAACAATAACACGTATGATGACGATACGCTCTTTGAACATCATACGCGGAATTGGTTATTATTAGTCACGTCACAATAAGACAACCGCTACAGCATCTTCTTGTTCCGAGTAATATTATTGTCAAGTGTTGAAACGTGAGCAAAACCTAAAAATCGATGGTATGCAACGTACACTCGGCAAATATCAATTAATAATAAGCGTTCGATATTAATGATCACAAGTAATTACCTCAAAGGGACAGTCACCATTGTGTTTTAAGGTCAAAGCATCGAATTTCGACAGACGAAGAACATCATATCTTATGTTATTAATGAACAGACAAGTCGGTCACGTTTTTTGTGCGACTCAAAATTTTCAATAAAACACAACCGGAGAGATGTACCCCAGTCATTAATAATAATTGTATACTTGATTACTGCAAGTCTGACACCGACCGTGAAGAAAGCGACAGCGGAAACGGCTGCTAATTGGACGTCTGGCGTAACTCTGGCGGACATTATTTAAACAGCACTACCGTTCAATAGTTTTGGAATATTCTCAAAATTAGCGTTACTTTATTGAGGCAATTACGTTGCAAAAACGTAGTGGGTATTGATGTTATACTTAGTGGTGATGGAGACAAAACGGCATTAGCGCACATGTTGTTTTCATCGTTTAAGTACCCCGTCCAAAACACAGAGAATAATTTTACACTCAAAAAAGTCATAGTGCCAGACTACCGATTTTCCGTTTACTTGCCAATTAAAATCAAATGTATGTTATTTATTTTTCGTTACGTTTTTGTTTCTCTACTCGGAACGAATCGTCTCGTAGTAATTTCATAGAAATTAATGACACTGATGTTTTATTATTCTCACTTGTGCAAAAATTTCGTCCTCTTTTTTTTCACTTTAGCGAAAAACCATAATAATAATAAAAAACCGAGCGGTACTATATCATTTCAAACGCCGCCGCTTTTATGTCCGGCTTCGGAGAGCTTTGGACCTAATACATATTAGTCGTTAATGAATGCCATTACACAGTTATTAACGCCAGAGGTGCATTAAAAACTGTTAATCGTACACAAAACACGTTTCTCACGGTGATCAGTCGGCGAGGGCGAGAATAACATAAAATTATAATTTTACTAGGTATGCTAATAATACTATGGGCGGCTGTCAGAGCTTTACTGACGGCGATAATTTTCATTCGTATAATTTATTTGCCAACGTTATATTTTCACGCGTTAAAAAAACATCATCTACCGTATCGTGCGAAGTTCTATCGAATCAACAGCACTCCGATTAACACTTCCAGGGCGGCATTCTTCTGAACAATGCGAATCATAAAAAATATTGACGTTTGTGGATTATGATAACAAGTATGGATATCTGCGCAATGCAATTTAAAAAACGTCAAAATACACAATGGTTTATGACGACGACGACGACGACAAAGAAAGTGGACGACTTCAAGTGGATGGCGAAATCACACAGTGGTGGAGACGTGCAATCGTCCTAAATAAAAAACCAAGAGACACAGAGACTGTGTATAATTGTGTTTTCGTTATTATTTATTTATTATTATTATATTGTATAGATGTACATTTTATACGATATAAAGGTGCAGGCCTAGTCGATTATTTACACTGGCCAAACAGAACTCGGACGGATATAGATTGTTTCACGATCTGCAGTGGTCTCTTTTTATTCGATTTCGTTATTGTTATTATTATTGCAGTGCTACTACTACTACCGCGTGCTCCTGTCTAGGTGTCACGAAAACTTTATTTTTCAATTACACCAACGTGAATGCATTTTCGTACCAATCAGATGTGGGTCAAGAACACTGGTAAGGTACAAAGGACATTTATTTTTCCGAGATGCACACCGGCACCAATAGATTGTCGGCGGAATCCGACACAAGAGTGATAATAACGTGTAACAACCACGTGTAGTGGACGCTTCTCATTAAAAGTAAAAAAACTGGTTCCGCGACGCGCCTCGGGGGAAGTATACGAACTCTTGCCCGTTATATCATGTGTCTGATCGTGTGCGTAAATTTATCGTACAATAAACCAACTCGATTTGTGCTTTACCAAACATTTAAAGATCCAACAGTTGTTTTTTCTCGGACAATCCTACGACGTTTATAGTCGACACAACTTTTACATCGTCAAACGTGCCAACGGTTAACAGAATAACAGTTATTGCGATTTTTCTATTTAGTAAAATATCGTAAAAAAGAAACGAGACGATTATCCGTCTGGTACGCGTTTTGAATGAAAACAAACACGAGACGAGCATCCATTGTGAGCTATATCAATATTGTTATGAACATCTCTTGGGATGATAGTTTTTTGTTTGGTCGCTCCGAGGAATATATTATTACTGTACACATCTTCACCGCGTCGTCATTGTTCTTGGACAAAAGCAAATTGTTAACATTATTAACGTGTATCGCCTTGTTTACTACTGTTTTCTATGGCCAACGTTAATCGACTAAATAATAATATATCAGCAAATGAAGACTACCAGGATAGGGGAAATCAACGTGTCCATCATACTTTTATCTGACACATATTTTGCTCGTGTCGTCATGATCATCATTACCCGATTTCGATGGTATTTAACGGTAAAACTTTACACGAGTGGCTACACAATAAATAATAGTGTGGTTTTTTTTTTGCGCGCACACATACACTCGTCATCGTCTCGAGTGTTAAAAATAAAGAAATATTGCGCATATTATTACATTGTTGTTATTACAGGCATCAAAATATTTTTATTTAACTTTCCGACGAGCCGACAACCGTCTCACGCGTAGTTATCTTACTGTAGTAACTAACCCGTTATGTGTCGCACACGCCATTGAAGCGGAGCACTTGTCTATGTGAAGTTCAATCAAAACCCACGTGTAAACGTCGGACACACTTTGCATTGTCTAAACTAGGCGCATCTACGCACTTGAATCTAAGGGACATCAATTACACAATATTTCTCGTTCTTTATCAGACACAAAACAAGTACAAAAAGTGTACACGACATACATTAGTTGACAAAAAATTCTAGTTCCGGCGAGTAATACGATTTTTGGTCATGTCACAGTCGCGAAAAAACGTATTTTGTTGAAAAATATTATTCTTGGTGTAATAATATTGTGGAGATGATCCAAGTAAATTTATTCGTAGGTTTCGTCACCGGAAAATATTGCTGACCCAGCCAAACGTTGATAATTCTGCCGACAATGACCTCCACAATACCCGAGGCTATCATTAAACACCCTACGCACACGCGGCGCAGTGTTTATTATTGCCAACTATAAACCAAACATTTTTTTTCCGGTACCTAAACTTAATTTTCGTGCAAAATTCAAAACTCGCTCGAAACAGTTTTACTGTTTTAACTTTTTTCTACACCAATAATATTTAAAAAATTCACTGTGATGTTAATGCATCCGTAGGTGGTATACATTTTAACATTAGTTCACTACGTCCTACATAAGTACTTGTCTACCTCTTTTGCTGTAGTCTCTTAGTTAAACAGTACTAATACTGGTAACTTGATTTTTTTAGATAATGATATTTAGGGCGAATTAACATACACATTAAAATGTCAACAGCGAAAATGATTAATTTAGTTGAACATAATCAACGTGTTATACAAGTTATTAATATAATGGGGTGATAAAACGTTTTAGATATTCGTTAACTAATGAGGTGTGCTAAAGAAATATTTTTTCATAGAAAAATATGCTCACTTTTATCCCCATAAATTAAAAAATAGCCAGCACACTATTTATTCCTGAATGACATTTTAAATCAAATGGATATTTTGATCAAGCTATAAACTGTTACGGTCAAGATTAAAAAAAAAATTAACCATCGGTCATCTTACTTTGTACGTTTGCTGATAGATGTCCGTTAGAACTGACTTTAAGAAGTAGACTAGGTAATTTCAGTAGGCTACATAATTACATTAGGACAGGTTCACGAGCTAATAAAATTTTTATTTTATTAAATTTAACTTAATGTGACCATTTACTAGTGATATTCGTATAAAAATATACTGAAAACTGGCAATAAATATTTTATTGACGCGCATCTTACGTTGTGTGGGCTTTGCATATCATCTCCACAAACGGATAGATTCGCCTCGTTCCTCGTCATTTTTTAACAACCGCATATTTGCTTTAGACTTCCGTAAGATTTGGTATTCGTTTAATCAATCATATTGTTGATTTTTGTTTATTAGGCATGACCCAAAAGAACACGGCGTTTTACGCTTGCGCCATAATGATGGCCGCAATGGCGTCGACAGCGATGACAGCCACGTCCCTTCAAGACTGCGAAGCTGACATGATCGGATTCGAGCTGGTCACAGGATACGTTTTCACGGCACCGGATCATCTATTGGACAACATACCCGGCACACTGATGTTGACCGACTGTCTGGAAGCGTGTCAGGCCAACGACACGTGCTATTCGGTCAACTACGAAACGGGACTTTGCGTGATGTTCTCGTCCAACGCCGATGCGTTTCCGGGTAAGTAGTCATACACTAAAAGCCTTACAAGAGTCCGTCACTGTAATTAGAGAACCTATCCGCTGGTCGACCACGGGGGACATTCATGTAATGTCGTGTACACTGTCTAACGCCATAAACGGGTANACACACATCCATGTCGTGTACACTGTCTAACGCCATAAACGGGTAGCGCCGGACGCAGCGTATAGCGTGGGAGTCACCGTCGGTTTCGAATGCAGACGCGACGCCCCCCGGGGGGAGGGGGGGGTCATGTCGGCAGTACGACCGTCGTGACGTACCCGAGAAGTCTTGAACCAGTCGGAGCTTTATGTGTGTGCGTCCGTTTCGCTTGCAAGTATCGACCTATCGTCGACAATAATCAATTCGAGAATTGCTAAACGTTACTATGAAGAAGAGAATAAATACTGACGCACAACACGGTCGGAGGAAGAAATTTCACGACATCGTCTATAACAAACCAGAATCTTCTTTCAAACAAAAGTGCACATCATACGTACCCTTTTAGTATTGAAAATTATCAAACGCATCTCGTTCGCTCGGTAGCCTACAATACTAATCGACGTATACTTTCACACGCGCTATTTATAGTAATGATACCTTCTCATAAATTAATTACTCTGGTAATTTTCTCAGGAAGTGCATAAAAAGTCTATTAAGACTTTTAATTATACCGATGTACGGCTAGCGGAGCTATTAAAAATGAATAATACATAAACAATGCGAGTGCATGTGCTTTTAAGACTCGGCCGGTAACAGCAAGTGGTACGATTAAAATTAGCGGCGTTTGCGAAACTAAGTACGGCGCACACGGCTACTTGATAGTTTAGATGATTTTCTAGTGCAAATCATTCTCAAGATGCAGCAGGTATTAATTAAACGCGAAATAGGTTATAGTTTTAAAACCGAATCGATTATTATTCAACGTCACGGCCATTTGTCATTACTGTTCGAATACGTGGTACACTCTTCTGACCGATTTTGAATATTTTTAATAGAGTAAATTCTCTCGGAAATCACAGTTATTGGACGAAAAAAGTATTGAATCGAGATTACACATTTTCACACCGAGTTAAAGGCTTTCCTGCAAACTAATCTGCACCTCACGTTTTTCCATCCCGGCGTGTACGTACTTTATTACACATACTAATGGCCGCGACTTTCTAAACGGTCAATAAGTATCACGTTCGGTATGCCCAGATACGATTTTATACATATCTCAACAGCAACAACGGACTCTGTAATGTTCACGATTTTCCTACTGTAACTTGTTATTTATTTTGTGTTACAGGCGCGTTGAGCAAATCGCAGTTTCCCGTGTTTACGATATACGCACAGAAAACTTGCTTGGGTATAAAACCATGTGAAAGAGCGTGGTGCTTCGACCGCGTGCAAGGATACAAACTCAAAGGATTCGGCAAAAAGAAGTTGCCTGCCACAACACGACAGGACTGTTTAGAATTATGTCTAGGAGAAAGAGAGTTCTCTTGTCGGTAAGTCAATAGATATCTATATAATAAATATGTTGAGTTTATACCGTGAGATTTTTTTTTTACGGTCGATAACGTAAACATAGTGCTATTTTTCTTATCTCGCCATCAAATGGGATAGTATTTTGAGGGTTTCAAATGATTACCTATTTTTGCCACGGGCTTTTTATCAAACGGTGACGTTTACTTGGTTTAGCTAAATTAACCACAAACTCGACTGCATTGTTCGCAACGATCACGACCTGTTAACAATGGACAAAACGACCGCTTAAGCGCTCAAGCGCACGCACTCACTCCTTAACGGTATTCAAATTCAAGAGGGAACCATATACAACAAATTGGATATTTCATTTTTTTTTACGATAAATCCATGTTCCGTTGCATTTCTTCTTTCATACAATGCAACACTTGAAATCGTTTAAAAGCGGACCGTTTAGCGCACGTACGCAAACAAAAGTGATAATGCGGGTGCATTAGTCACGTGTTATAAACTCGCATGTTATATTAACTATTAACAGAAAATTTTTTTTTCTTATTTCCATTTTCTCTCTTAACGGATTCCCGAAAACAATCTCGCTAGACGCTATTCAATAAAATGAAATGAATAAAAAAAATTTGATTCGCAACAAAACTATTCACATGTCAACGCAGTACTCGCCCGCCCACGCACGCGATTAATTTCAATAGTGTGCAATTAACGTATTGTCAAAAACTGCCTGCTGTTTTTACCCCAGTTCTCCATTCATCTCGGATCGATTGACATGCACGCCCGTAATTATCCCGTTTCATAGAATTTTCCGACCGCTTATAATAATAATATAGGCTACTCAAGTACACTGCACTCGCGTTTAACATACAATGGTAATGACACTGGCACAAATGATTGGCGTGTATAAAACGGATATATATATATATATATATGTATGAATTGCGAAAACATTTCTCATGTATACTATTCACGGGCGTATTATTGTCGTCAATCATAAACGAAAATAACCTTAAGTAGATTATTGTATTTTTTCTACAATTGCGTCATATCGATATTTTTCCATTGAAAATCCTCAAATCCATCAGCGCAATATTTAGACCATCCAGTCCTCTCATACGATGTCACGACAAGAAAAAACAGATGTTTTTTCAAGCCTCACGCCCGTGAAGATGAGACCCGGGAAGACGACATAGTTTATTTTCCATACAAAAACAACACAAACATAAAATTTATGTTCATCTTATGACTCTACGAGTTATGCCTATTTAATAGGTATAACCTGTGTAGGGTCATCAGACGGACCGGACGATTGTCATCGGAATTACAATGTAATAAAAAGATGAGTAAAAAAACCGGTCGAATAAAATATTAGTTTTTTCGTCATTGCCCTACTGACCTTGTGTTAATTTTCTCGTTTCCACGTTATAATTTGCGAAAATTTAAAGCGAGATTCCTAAAGCCGGACAATAATTTCGTTTTTCTCTGAATTTTTTTCATTTATGTTAACCGCATAGCTACTACGAATAATTTACACTCTGATATTCAATTCAAAATAAATTCCTACAGATATACTGCGGCGGTGGTAACTGAACTTGTGTACGCGTCAAAAAAAAAAAATTATGACTAGTTACTACAGTTATCAGTAACTGTATACTTTCATAAGCGTTTTAATTTATAAATGTAAATACGACCAGAAACACTCTTTGCTGATAGATCAGTAAAATATGTACGTCTCTACCGAATAATATATTATAGTTGTTATAAACACCCTTCAGATTAATGAGATCGAATTATTTGTATAAACTTTTCATAAGCGACAAAAATAGTTCTAATGTTGCAATTCAACTCTTTTTCGGCTCTTGTAACTCTGTTGATAATAAACACTCAATTAAACATTAAACGGTTATACTAAACATAAAATTGTGTTACTATACTGTGGCGTTTGTCCAATTTGCTATAGAAATGATGGATCGTTGCCACTACATTATTATATGGCGGTCGTACAATAATTTACGATGACTCAATAGATTTTGAAGAATAACACACATGCGAATCATATTATCGTTCCTTTCGTAATATTTTTGCCTTACAAATGCATTAAATCTCATTTCGATAGTATTCAGTATTAATGTAATTGATGATAGAAAAACTGCTTGAACCCTAAAACTTTTGTTCTATCGGTTTGATAGGTTAGTTACACACAATAAATATTCATAACAGACATCAAAAGTTTTAATATTTATTACTATCAATGTTATTAAATCAGTATTATTATTAGTAATAATTAAAACGGAGCTGTCGTCACACCAAGTAGTAAACACAATAAAAATAACGAAAACCGATGGCGTCGACTAATATCTTCATATTATAGCCGACGCAGGTGCATTAATCGTACATGGTTTTTATGTGCCTAACAAATCTAACCGGTTTATATGAATTATATGTGTTCTATCTAAATACATATTTACCAATTAACTCTTCTAAATATATACTTGACTGTTTTCAATTAAAAAAAACCTACAAACAATTTCTTGTTTCAGATCGGCCAATTACTATAACAGTACGGGCGAATGCGAACTTTCGGACATGGATAGGATGACCGTTGCTGGACAAGGACAATTCGAACCGACCACCTCTGTGGATTACTTAGAAAACAACTGCGTAGACGAACCCATAAAACTGTGTGAATTTAAAAAGTTCCCAGGTCGCATTCTTAAAACCGTAGACTCTGTTTACCAAGAAGTTAATTCGTTGGAAGACTGTAGGGAGCTTTGTCTTAACTCGCCCTATAGGTGCCATTCCTACGATTACGGCGATACGGGAGAACTTGTGTGCAGGCTCAGTCACCACTCCAGAGCAACTCTGGCTGATATTCAGGTATGCGTTTCTAATGTAGGCTATTTATTTTTTGTTGATATTAAAATATTGAAAAAAAGCGGAGTGTTTGTTTTGTTCACGAAACGCTACTCCTCGTTTATAATTAGTAGTACTTCTCAATGCCTCTTCCGATGATAATTGAATCGCAGCAGAAAAACGTGCATGCAATTAAATTAAACGTGAATATGATGTTACAAATTAAAACAGTTTATTTTTAAAAATATTTAATTAATAACAGTTATTTATAATAATCTTCGCGAACATTAGTGTATCCTGCAGTATTTTTAACTACTTTAATCACTATATTCTTTTCCCGTTCCGACTTACGTGTAAAGAAATCGATTTATTTTTAAGCTAATAATTTAACGGCAAAAAATAAACCGGAGTTGGTAACGCCAACAAAATAATTATACTTGAGTTGTTAACTTTGATCAATAACAGATATAATTTTTCAATTTCGACTTGGGATTTTTGGAAGCAACAATAAATTAGTGCGACTGGTTCTTTCTCGTTGTGTGTGCGATATCCGTTTCCAAACACGTTCGGCGGTTGTAACCCACATTCGTGTGGTGCCAAAAAAGGCATTCTTCTACACACGGAATACACAATATACAATAATACACTGCTAATAATTTGTAGAAATAATAACGAGCTACCGCCACGGTACGTTATCCCCGGGATGTCGGCGAGTCGCAGTGCTTCTCTGCTCTCCTCTTCGACGTACATTATATAGACATTAATAAATGTGCTGGCCCAGTTCTCGGTTGATTAGAATCGGTATGCCGATAAAAATTATGACACGAACGTGTACAATTTCTATTGCAATTTTCCGACAAGAATTCCAGAATAACATCATCTCCTACACTAAGTCACCAACAAATTAAAACTTATCGTATTTTCAGTTTTCATACAAATCGAGTTTTTTTTTTTTGTTGATTGGGAAAGTGATATGTGACAAAAACTGGACGTCCAGATGGTACACATACAAATAAGGGTCAGCGTGAAAAAAACTAATGTATATAAAATAAACAGTTTTCACCTTATAAAAGGAAGCTTTATCAAATTTGTCTAATCATTCAATTTAATTGATGTTAATTTAAAATTATATTTCGAGTATAAATTAAAAACTTCACCGTAGTTCATTTTTGAACCGTATGACCCATTCCTAAATGTATATAAAACACAATAATTATTTTCCACTTTCATTTTTCAATTTATTTTGCAATAACCCTATGTATGAACACTAAACAAATTTTTAAATTCATATTATTACATTAAATATGTTCAAAGGTAAATTCTTCTTGCCCGCATGTATAGGTCAACAACACTGTTAATTAGAAACCAAATATTGTACGGGTACTATTGATAATGAACCTATTATCATCATAACTATAGAGTTAACGGTTCAAAAACTAATGTTTTTAATGTTTTTAGGACCCATACTTGGAGGTTCCAGAAGCTTCGACATACGAATTGCACTCATGTTACAACATTAGCATCGAGTGTAGATCAGGAGACATGGTTGCCAAGATAAAGACTAGCAAACTGTTCAATGGTAAGATCTACGCTAAAGGTAACCCGAACTCTTGTGTTCAAGACGTTAAAGGAAGTCTGGAATTCGAATTGGAAATGGCGTACGATGACGTTGAGTGCAATGTTAAACAACAGGGTCTAGGAAGATACATGAACGACGTTATCATCCAACATCACGACACAATCATAACCAGTTCTGATCTGGGGGTAGCAATCACATGCCAATACGATCTAACAAACAAGACTGTATCCAACGAAGTAGACTTGGGAATACAAGGTGATCTTAAACCATCAATGACTGAAGAGGTAATCGTCGATTCACCAAACGTGGCTATGAAGATCACAGACAGGCAAGGCGCTGATGTTAAGCCGTCGGCCGAAGTGGGCGACCCATTGGCTTTACGATTCGAAATTTTGGACGCCAACAGCCCTTACGAAATATTTGTCAGAGAACTGGTAGCTATGGACGGTGTGGACTCCAGCGAAATCGTACTAATAGATGCCGACGGATGTCCCACGGATCACTTTATCATGGGCCCACTGTACAAGTCGTCAGACACCGGAAGTGGAAAGGTAAATAAAATAATATATATATATAACAATACTAAAAATTTACTGATGATTTAATTTCTTTAGATTCTCCTATCGTACTTCGATGCGTTCAAATTCCCGTCCTCTGAGGTAGTTCAATTCAGAGCCCTAGTCACGCCATGTATGCCCACTTGTGAACCAGTACAATGCGACCAAGAAGACGCGTCGGGAGAACTCCGATCGGTACACTCTTTTGGTAAACGCCGACGGAGGAGATCGGCCAACAACAATTCGTCGACAAATGCCAGAGACGACATGTTATTAGTACAGAGTATACAGATAACTGATAAATTCGGATTCGGTGCACAACAAGCATCGCCTGAAATGAAACCGGCCGATACCACTACAAATTACGTTAAACATCAAGATTTCAATTTCGACAACTTGTGCGTTAACCTATTCGGCGTTATCATATCCTGTATGGTATTTCTGGCTGTTCAAGTAGCTGTGCTCATAGCTTGGGCTTACGTGTGGAACCGCAAAAGGCCTATGGACCCATACCACCACCACCATGACGGTATGTCGGTTAGCATGAGCATACCAGTAGGACGGACGGACAGCATGTGCAAATTGTACGACACAGGGTACGCGAAACGGTACTGACGAGACACAAAGCTTTGATAGATAGTTTGCCATGACAGATTTTTTTTTTTTACCTTGATTTAATTAAGTATACAAATAACTGATATTTGTTAAACGTACTACGATAATCGATAGCACGATACTTTTCTTCGTAATTAACACGCTGCGCTCAATAACATCCTAAACGATTTCGATGTGTGCGACATAATTCTACGCGCATCACCGTAATACTAATTATAGGCTTCTTAAATTTAATTCTCAAGTCAAAGTTGTTTGATAATATGATAGCTGACTATCGTTATAATCAAAAATATAAAAGTACTTTATTCGTTAAAAAAAAAAAAGTCACTATCGATTTTGTTTATATAAAACTATTGCAACGTTATTTAACGTTTTAGTTAAAATTTTCATGATTTTAATCTAACAAAAATTATCTAATAAGAGATTCTTATTGATTTAAGTCTCTATTTTTGTTAGTCGAGGTACTTAAACAGTAACTTACTGAAAATATTTTCGAAAACGTGTAATATAAATTCTTATTGAAAATTTATTTATTTTCAACAGTACCTCAATTACTATACTAAACTATTAACTTAAAAGTTCTCTTAATTTAAAATTATTATTAGCGAACCAACTTAAATTATAATAGAATTAATAAGTTTTGGCATGTAAGTTTATAAAAGGCTGAAACGTATATGATTTTTCCGACGACGCAGTCAATTTGTAAATTTTATTTAATTTAGATATGCTTGGAAAAATGTAACGTTGTCGGAATCTTGTTTACGTTTCTTAAAGCTTAATTTTGACATATTTTTTTATTTATTTGTCGCACGTACAATAAAGGATATAGCAAAAAAAAAAAAATCTTATAAAATCTTCACATTTTATCCAACAATTAGTAGACCAAACTAATAAAAAAAAAAAAAATTGTCAAAAATATATCTTTAAGTAATTAATTATAAGTATCTACTCGTTTGTACTTTGAATTTATTTTGTACTTCAATATTTAATATTTATTATATTAGTCCTATGAATTATAAGCATAAAGAACATTTTTGATACTAATTTAATGCAATATTATTTCGTAAGGTAAACATAAAATAAATAATAAGCAATATTTAATTGTGCTGATATACTGGCGTTGTTATTTATCAACGATTATTGTCAGACTCACTTACCCTAAGACGTTGATCACTGACTGTCCAAACACGAGATGCCAAGTCATTAGACGCAGCTACAATCTGTCCTCCAGTACTGTCGAAGTCGACTGACATAACACCGGCATTGCTGCCAATTAACATACCTTTACACTCGGCAACACCTAAAAAAAATTCAACATTTTAATATCAGAGTGATTAATATTTTTAATAGGTATTTTTCTACCTTTGGATACGTCCCATAATTTAACCTTGCGATCTTCGCCACCGGTGGCTACCACGCGGTCCACTGGGCTCCATTTCACGGCACTGACCACCCCATCGTGAGCATCCTACAGAGTTTAAAACAAAGATCTATATCTAATATAACAGTAGTAATAACACTGCGGGTTCATACAAATCTAATGGAAGGTTTGCTCGGGATAGCAGACGGATGTGCCACTATTGGACCAACGCTGTTGCTTACGACCGTACACAAGCTTTCGGCAGATAAGCCTCGCATGTCTTTCGCCGCTTCTTTGAGCTCCTGTTGCATTTTAGCATTCCGTTTTCTGTGCAAAAATTAAAATTTTTAAAAATGTCAAACTATGTTCAAAGCCAAGATAAACCCAAACAATGTAGCATCAACAACACAATGCGAAATCGTGGATAAGATTCTAACGCTTTGGAACTTTTGCCGGGCATATTGAAAATTACAAAATTTTTAATCGGTGAACACTACTTGTTTTTCCTGTGTTTCTTTATATGAACGACTACGGAGAACTGAAAAACGGTTTGAAATACAAACTAGTCTTTTTAACTTCAAAACTTATAATGAAGGCAAAAAGAAACAGGATATAAGCGACTACGGGTTTAAAATGATACACAAATTAATTAAGGTACAGAGTTGGAAATATATTTATAGGCTCACATTTACCTTAGTTTATTCATGCCGTAGGAAATTTGAACGCCATGGAATGGAAACGCGACCGGCACTCATATATTTTTTGAACTTAAAAAAATTAAATACAAACAGTTATTCGGCAGCGGGTAGCTGAGCCATCACTACAGCATATATTTAAGAATTATAGCCGGCAAAAAAACTGGCTTGAGTCGTTATGTTTTAATTGAATTTTTTTTTTTTTTTTTGGNTTTACATTAGCGCAACGCTTGCGATGATTGTCAACCGACTGGCGGTGGCTCACCAGCGGCAGGCGTTCCATAATAAAGTTGTGTATATAATTATGTGCAATATTATAAAAATAGATACACGGCGCCCCGCCGAACAATTTTCACATGAGTTAAGCCTTTAATCGGCCGTAATAAAGCAAACACTTATTTGTTTCACTTTCATTTTTTTAAATATTAGCATTGTGTGTAGCTTGGTTTAATGAAAATCTGTTGTCTTCTAATGATTTTGCATTCTTAAGACGTGACAATGAAATAATTGTTATGATATACATTAGGCGATGAGTTACAATTTAAAAACCGACAATAGGAACAAATTAGAAAAACATTTTCTCAATTGCGTCACTATAATTTTAACTTGTTAATTTACTAAGAGCGTTTTTAGAGAAAATCATGTGATTAACAATTACTCTTTAATGAACATGAGTTTTATAATTTTAACGCACAACATAACATATCAAATTTTTAATAATTTGATTATTTTCAAATAGTATTTTAATAGATCTTGATTTGTAGCTTTTTTAACATTTTACGAGGTATGATAGTTCAGAATAATTTTAATTTAAGTCGATGTATTATTATTTTAATAAATTAAAATTATGCTTTTTTTACTAAATAACGACGATAATATTTATATTAAAATTATAGTATACAATTTAATATTTTAAAAAAATTGAGTAAAAGATTATCTGCTAAAAAAATCATTCCATATCCATCCATAATCATTGAACTCTGTCTCATTATACAATAAAAACATTTCATTGAGTAATCTAAGATGTTATTAAAGGCCATTAGAACCGAGTGAGTTCTACTTATTATATCTTTATGAAGAGGGTGCAGATGAATCTTTTTTTACTGGAACTACTAAACTTAATGTGCATTAATCATTAAAAACTAATTGAATAGATCAAGTAAAATGTTTTCGAAGAAGTTTAAGACGTTATATAAAACCGAAGAGATTGTTGGAATGTGGCGCTAGAATTGGCATTAAAAGCGTGAAAAATATTCAATATATTAATAGCTACTAAAATTGTATTTTATTTTTTGTCTCTATTATTAGTTGCACATACAATATGGAAATATGAAAATATTTTTGTTTTTGTTGGAATAAAACTGACTATTAATTATTCTTAATGTCTATGGACAATATTTACACATACTGCAAGCAGCATACGTTATTAGTTATGACGTATTATCTAATCTCTTTCACTAGTCATTGAAATATTTAGTTTATTTTCATATTGCATATTCCTTCAAGTCTCCAATTAAAACATATTTATAGGGAAAGAAAATATATCAAAATAATCAGCTATAATAATATTGAAATGAAAACCTTCTGACCTTTTTTCCAGATGTTATATTTCATTAATTTTTATTTAACTTTTTCGCTTCTACACTTGACACAATTAGTGTACATTCATTTAATAAATACAGTTTCATTACCTATGACATCTAATGAACAATTGAGATTTATAACTTAAAATGAAGCACATAGCACCAAAATAACTAAGAACACAGTTTATTTCCGATGACAATAATGCTAAAATTAAAAAAGTAAAATATAGTTATCCTTCAAAAATAAAAATTAGAGATAATCATTAGTAGTGGTAAGTAATTTTTTTAAGCTAACCATAAATCCACTGCCATAAATGTATACTATTTCAATTTACAAATATAATTAAACATATTTAAAATTACAGTTCAACCATCCTTAAAAAAAAAAGTTGAATATTGCATTTTCAAGGACTCACATAAATGAGCTAATATATCTCTTATATCTTCTGATTTAAAAGTATATTAATCCAATGAACTGTCTTAAATTTAAAAAAAAACTAAGGGCATCAATTAGGGTGAAGTAAGGTACATCTAAATACATTTTTTCTCTTAGAATAGGTAACACATTTTATTTTAAACTGAAACATTAAGGTCCTTATGTATATTTTTTCATATTAGATGCAAGTTTAAAATAAGAACTTGTACATTTATAAAAAAAAATGCATTTATAATTACCTAACTTCACCTTAGCCTCGCGAAAAATAATATTTCTCCTACTTTGCTTTTAATGATGACATAATAAATATGTACTAGATAATATATAAACATTTTAAACATAAGTACAGTACTAATTTAAATGACAGTAGCAACCATAAATAAAACTTATTAATGATTTTTGAGTAATTACTTGAGATTTACGTAATTTTTCTTCTAGTTTGGTAAAAGCCAGTTGAAGAGCTTGGTGTTCATCTTTCAAAACTTGATTAAGTTGTTTCAACTCATTGTTATTTTTCTGATATAATGATATTTCAGCTCGAAGACTTGATATTAATTT